ATGTTCAATCTATTTTCAATGCATTTTTTCATTCAAGGGAAATGGAATCCCAATGCAAAAGTTCATTTTGACAAAAGGCTTCAGAAAAGTACCTCGAAAATGTTTTTTCAACAGCACAGCGATTTAATGTGCGCAAGACGCGTTGAAAATGTTTTGTTGTGTCCATGAAAAGGCTTTAAAAAGAACTAGGGAGAAGGTAGTTTTGTGACATATCAAGGACATCTCGATAATTGCCGCCTGCGGCGGACATTGGCTGTTCTCTAATAGTTCTATTCATGTGTGAACAGAACATCGCAGTGGAGGTTCAATGTCTCGAAATCTTGTACTTTTAACATCTCTGAGATGTTTTTATGCTCGCTGGGATTAATTCATCAAACATTTTTTGATTATGGCTGGTTGTCATGCTTTCAAAAGTTAAGTTCTGTTATTGTCGCTGGAAAAGTTAACGTAAACTTTTTTCGCTGTCATAATGACAAAATCACGCGGCTTATGGAATTTTTCATACATGAATTGAATTGTCTTCGAAAATACACTGGACCACTTCGAGTGAAAACTATTAAATCCGGCCCATTGTCGACGAAAGTCGCACAAAGGCAAGGGAATAACGGCTGCCTTGTCCGATATGTCGCCTCAGTTATACATACAATACAGCGGGGGTGCATATTTAAAGGAGAATAACCACGGTTAGGGGAAGGTTTATTAGTTTTAATACGGTTTTTCTCGAGGATTATAGGCTAAAGAAGGGGATTCACTGTTTACTTTCTGTCTGGACTTTAATGAACTAAGAAGGGCAGGTCTTTTGAGGAATCAGCTCGTAACGGCTCTGGTGTATTCACCCGTAATGAAGAAAATGGGGTAAAATGATAACGCAAACACAAATTTTCACTTATACAGTGTGTCCCACTTACCATGCTCACCATGGGTATCTTTTTAACGGTGAGAGATAGGTACGAGGTCGGTTAAATGACACCAAATGTGGAGTTTGTCAAGGCCAACTATATTGTGAGAAAATATTTTGATAAAATCTATTCGTTTTTGTTTTATACGCAAAAAACAGATTTTGATCATTTTCATGTCTCCCCCGTAACTTCTTTATTTATGAAAATATTCAAATAGCAATTTCACATTCTCATGGCAGTTTTTCAAAGTGATTTAGGAAAAAAAATAAAATTTATACCAACTCTTCCAGAACTTGAGATATCAGCACCAGATTTAGTTTTTCAAATGTAGGTCATAGCTCACTATGATTTAGTTACAAATAACTCTATTTTCTCTCACAGATGATATGTCCCAGTAATAGTTTTGTGTTGATAACAACGGAGTTATCGTCATTTATACAAAAAAAAAATCATTTGGAAGCCGCCATCTTGAAGTTTTTAATTTTAACAAAAAAATCATGATTTCCGACCTCAAAAACTTCCACTTACCAATTTCGAATGGAATCGGATCAAATCTTGTCCGACATCTTGGAGCAGCCATTTTTTTAAATTGATGGCGGACAAGATTTGGTCCGATTCCATTCAAAACTGGTAAGTGGGGGTTTTTGAGGTCGGAGATCATGATTTTTTTGTTAAAATTTCAAAATTCAAGATGGCGGCTTCCAAATAATTTTTTGTTTTTGTATAAATGACGATAACTCCGTTGTTATCAACACAAAACTATTACTGCGACATATAATCTGTAAGAAAAAAAAAAGTTATTCGCAACTAAATCATAGTGAGGTATGACCAACATTTGAAAAACTAAAGTTGGTGCTGATATCTCAAATTCTAGAAGAGTTGGTATAAATTTCATATTTTTTTCGAAATAACTTTGAAAAACTGCCATGAGAATGTGATATTCCTATTTGAATATTTTCATAAATAAAGAAGTTACGGAGGAGACATGAAAATGATCAAAATCTGTTTTTTGCGTATAAAACAAAAACGAATAGATTTTATCGAAATATTATTTCACATTATAGTTGGCCTTGACAAACTCCACATTTGGTGTCATTTAACCGACCTCGTATCTCTCACTGTTGAAAAGATACCCATGGTGAGCATGGTAAGTGGGACACACTGTATACAGAATGTATCATTAATAATAGGAAATATTGTAACTATAGAATCCTGAGATTGAAACAGGAAGATTTAAGCCAATACACTTAGATGAAATTTTTTTTCTGTCTGAGTTACATCAGGGTGATTTATTCGAGAATTCAAAATTTATTTTTTGTACCTAGTACTTTGAAACTAATCGACGTTTTATTGTCATATTTTGCGGGAAGTGCAGATACTATACGCCCTACTAAATTATATGAAATAATCGTTATTGGCTACTGCCAGAGGCGTACGACAGGGGCAAGTGACTGGTTGATCCTTCCCACATTGTACGTCACTGGCGGAATTGTCATTTTTATCTCAATCATTCGATTCTCCAATACTTTCTACGTAATTATTGTACGCATTCTTCATAGCGATAAAGTCATTATTTTTCGAGATGTCAATTATGTCGATATTTTTGATCAATTTATTGCAAAAAAAACATAATTACATAAGACAGGAGCTGTTGCAGGGTATTTTGTATTTTTTCAATATAATAAATAATTTGTTCTACTCACATAACCAAAATGACATTTAGCGTACCTATACGGATATGCACCACGTTAAATGATCGATTAATCACGGATTGACGATCTGTGATTTATTCAAAATATCAAACACGTTACCATGGCAACACGATTTCTTAAGCACATTACCATAACAACATGATTTCTTAAACACATTACCATGGCAACACAGTTCATTAAACACAGCTTCAGTAATTTGAGACATGTCTGGTCTGTCAATTGTATTAACTGTCAACTGTTATTTTCCAATTTTGTATCAAAATTACTCAAACAATATTCGTTTGTATCAGAATTCTTCATTAAAAATATATGAGAAATGTAGACGGAAGTGACATCGAAGAGAATGTTCTGGTTCTTGCATATCTCCAAGAAGTGTAAATATGAAGCATCCATCTTTGAGAACAATTCATTTATTCTGCGCTAAGCATGACAATAAACGTGAAACAAAGGTTAGTAAGCAATGGACTGGACACATCTAGAACCAATATCACTTATACGTGTCTCGCTGGTTGCATGCAGTTGCATGTATAATGTTCTCAATTTCCATTCCTTTCGAATTATTTTGTAGGTTAGCAGGAATAGCAGGTATGTTAATGTAATTTTCGGAGTTCTTAGAAAAAGCATGGTATGTAACGCGTTCATAAACTCTTCTAGAAACTCGTTTATTAAACACTCGCTCCGCTCGTGCTTAAAATACTTTCCTGGCTAATGCCACGCAGAACATTGAATTACATCCTCCCGAAATCTATGCATCGACTCGTATATAAACGAATACTGATACAAGTGATTCTTTCCTGACGGAAATAAAAAACTGCTGTATCGCCAAAAATAAATACTAATACGCATTTTTCATGTATGTTTTCCACTATTCGTTTAAAATAACAAATCTGTATCAAGCACTTTCAGTTTCATTCGTACCCTGTTAGATAGCTATTGCCTCAAGGAAGTTTCAACAATTTTTCGACAAATGTGCCTTAGAGATTTTTTCAAAAATAACCGCTAGAATGTGTTAAAATCCACAATGGGGAAGACCACTGAGGGAAGAAATCCCTGCAAACCTCTTTCAATCGACGAATCCTGATTTACATTTTATGTACAATCAATATTATGAGTTGAAGTTGAAGGGAATCGAATCTATATCGTTTTGAAATCAGCATATTTCATTCGATATTTCAAACAGCCAAATATGATGGTGGAGTCGTGACGTATCAGTCCCGAACTGTAGCTATCTCTCTCTGATACCTCGTCATTCTGCAGTGTTGCAGTGTAATTGGTCGGTTCAAGGACAATAGGCGTGTTGGCACTAAGACGTCGCACCAGTCACACCAATGAATTGATGAAATTTCAAATGGCGCAGGAATTGTGTGTTTTGAAATCGACATATACTAATTTATTTTTTTCATCGCCTTTGCATGAATGAAAAAAATCAAAATTAATTCACTGGTAGTTTTTCAGTATAGAGTTCACGATAATGTCGTTTTAAAAAATCAGTGGTCTTCCCCATTCACAAATGAAAATAAGACTTCGTATTTATTATTCATCTATAATCTAAATTATTTCTGGATTTTTTTTATTCCAAACATAAGAGCATAGTGTTGTTCATGTATTCCAGTTGAATGGTTGAAAATATGTACAGCAGTTTTTCGGAAAACCAACTTTCAAACCCTTGAAGTCTTCCTCTTGGAGAAAACCAGCAAAATTTAAATATCTCAAAAACTGTTGACTTTTGCATAATGCAGATTAGGGTTAGATCCACCCCTCACCACCTCCCCTATCACACCTCCAAAGGAATGTATCGTATTGTCACGATAGGAACCAAAAATATTCATAGCTACTATTCAAAATTAAAGTGATTCAAGATTCATTAATAAAAGTTCATTATTCATTTCATCGTATAACATTCGATTAAAGGAAACGAGTATAATGTTTCACTCACGTTGGCAGCTCATTCAACCGGAATGAAATACCCGCATATGGAGTAAATATATCAAAATATTCTAAACAAATATCGATCAGCCGACAAGGCAAGGGATCAGTTTGGATCTGATCAGCTAGCCTTCACTATGGTTCATCCCCTGCATCTGCTAGAGATTATTTTGTAAGTACTACTGTCACAATCGTTATGTTGTCAAACTATTAAATGTTTCTTTTCATTGCGAAGTCTGATGTATTTACGTTTGCATTGAATCTCGTTTGTTGAAATCACTAATGAAACTAATTCCTTTCAATAAACTGTAGCTTTATAACGAACAACTGTTCTGATTTCTCGGCCTCCCAAGCGAGTTCACCCCCGAGTACCACCATGTAGCCATGGGTCGTGACAGTATTACCAGTAACCCTGTATAGTTGGGATATTTCCAATTAGTAATGATATATCCTGTATATGTACCTGAAAATCGTCTCTTGCATGAGCACCTCTGGACTCCTTTCTCTGTTCCATCGAATATATCGCCTGAATCGCGTTTATGAAGAGATTTTGCAGTTCCAGAGCTTCGACCAGGTCAGTGTTCCAAATCAGTCCTTTATCAGACACCTGAAAAGGTGATGAAAATATCAGACCTGAGTCATTTTTAAAAATGTCTCCAATTCTACGAACGATAAGATTTTCATGAAATCTCTTATCACACATGTTTCGCTAACACAGTAGCTTCTTCAGGTGAAATACTACTTACAATGATCTGAACCTACAACGACTTTCCTTACTTTTATTTCCTATTTTCCTAACTTATGAAACTGAAATAATAATCTACATTAAATTGAAGAGAATTAAAGCCCATACAAAGAAAAAAATCAACAGCGGTGAATGGGCTTATATCACAAAAAAATATATTTTTTCTGTGACAGGAAAAAAGTTTGGCATTTCATCCCTGTTGGCAGGTTATAAAATGTCACTTTTCATAAATTACTTTTTTCCCGTGGGAAAAATGTGAGTACTTTGCAGCCCTACTTTTATGAAAAATAGGTGCATTTGCGAACGGCAGCTCTTCGTCAGTAGGCACTATGGGTTCGAGTTATCAAAATGAGTTAAAATAGCAAAATTTCAGTTATCTAGCAATCATAAGGTTGAACAAAAAAGATGGGGCGCCACTGCAACTTTTAATTCAAAAGAAAAGTAACCTTGAAAGTTGAGCAACCAGATAATGAATAATATTAGTTGTTATCCCAGACTGAAAGACCTAAATTTACCTTATAGAGATGTTGTGAGTTGGAGTGTCATGTCAATAAACAAATGAAACAGTCATATACAATACCCAAAACATTTAATAATGATGATAGGACTCATATATCACATCACATGGTTTCGACAAATATGCATAAATCAAAAGAATATTAGATAATTATTTCCTGTTAAGAAATTACACTGTTGCCTGCTATTATGTGGATGAAAATATATATAAATCAACTTTATATTGTACTTGAAAACTCAAGAGCTCCTGTAAGGACGTTTTATAGTCATAGCAGATTTAAAAAAATAGTGAAAATGGAAGAATTCTACCAGCGCATAGTATACTATGTGGAGGGAAAGTATGTACCTTTCATGTGTGATTTCATCAATTTTTGACCTAGCTATGATTTAAAAATGGTCCATTATACACACTAGCAATAGGCATTATGAGTGAATAAAAATTAAAAATAAATATATATTTTTATGTCAAAAACCTGTATGGTGTGTCCTACACCAGTTATCCTTGATAAAAATGGCTTCAGTGCCACCAAATGAAGCTTCTGAGGGGAAGACTGGCGGAGAGCGGGGTGCTGACTTCACATCCCTGGATGTCAGATGACATTGACAGAGCTGTCGTATTTCCACCTTGAAAATCCATCATATCAGGAACAAACAGGGGACGATATCCAGATTCCAGATTCCAGACTACTATATAGCCACCAAAGGCCTTGTAGAATTAACAGATCCTGGTCGAGCAGTGACTCCTGGGAAGAATAGTGCTCCTGGTAGGATAACTCCCGTTGTAGAACTCCCAGTAAAGCTCCCGGTAAAAAACTCCCGGTGAAAAAACCCTTAAATATTTCATGAAAATGAGGTTCTGAATTTCTGGACTGGCAGAGAGAATAAACGTAATAATGCGAGACTCACCTTCTATGAAGGGTTAGGGATTGAAATGACGATGAAGGTAGGCACGTGGCTGCCTGGGTGATGAACCATGAAGATCCTGACCCTTAAACCAAAACCAGAAGAAATCTGTAGAGTCCAGCAGTCCTTGTAGATCAGCAGCAAATCCAGGATATCCTGATGTGATCCAGAACGCCAGGCGGTACAGGACTTCAGAAGCCGGTTCACACCACAAAAATGGCACTTGACCACCACGAAGAATTTTTCCGAAGTGAGCTCTCGTCTCACGACCAGAAAGGAAATCCCTTCTCCAAATTTCCAGAAACTTCGAGAACAACTTAACAGTTTCCGCCTTTCAAATTGGCGGAAAATTTGAATATCCAAAATAAAAGACGTTATCGCTACTCCCTCCAGAGACTTGATTCTTCCCAGATGACTAACTGAACCAATCAGAATTGATGACTAAAATGACGTCACACCTTTCTTCACAAATACTCCTCTTGTTGGTTCGACGATGATGATCTAAGGACATATCAATTCGAATCGGCGTTTGGCGCATGACAAGTTTGACACTGTTGACATGGTGTCATGACCGACAGCTAATTGGACGTAAAGCGAAATAACAGATCAACAAGATCAAAACATCAACCTGAATTTATCAAATGCATCAATCAAGAAAATAATGCCAAACGAAGTTAATTGATTCAAAATGATCAATTCCTAGTGAAACCATACGCCTCAGCATTCCTGGAAAATCCAATACCTATCGTCCTACTGTGATGAAGTTTCAAGTGGAAATAGCAGTGTGAAAAGTGAGTATGAGAATGTCTCTGAAATGGTATTTCATATTACTTTATATTATTTATCTTTTTCAGATAAGTTCCTGTAAAAACCATCCGAATCATCCTTCTACTTGGATCACAACAAAGCAGATATAGCAAAAGATATCAGTGTATTTATAGAAATTGTATTTTTATTTTATGTACAGTGTGAAATCTCAGGTGTGTATCCACATATCAGGTTTGAGAATAATTAAATAATATGAAGCAGATTGAGTTCAATTTATGTTATTGAAAAATGTTAACCATGTTATTGTGACAAAATATCCTGTCAGATGTGCTCAGCATTACAGAGTAGTATAGAATCAGACAGAATATACAGTAGTGAATATTTACATGCTACAACTTTTTTCCCGGATATATATCACATATATATACACTGTTGATGGCTTTTGTTGTGCTATAGTTCCGAAAAATGAGTCAATAATACCGTCTCCGAGAAAGAACTGCAAGTCCTTTTATCTTCCATTCGACTTCGCGGTTACGAAGAATAAATACTAAATAACCACTGAATTCGCAATTTCTTCAAATCAAATCACAGAATTAGACTGACAGAAAAAACTTCAATTAATATCGTAAAACGTTTCCGCTTCTGCCCTGGTGTAATCGCTCAGGAAAATTGCGAACAGAGAAGTTCATCGTTTCAGCATCGTTTTTTTTTTTGTTCCTTTTTCATATAAGTTTTACTACATGGCGATTCTAGGCGAGGAAAATGAAGATGTTGGACGAGATCATGGAAGAATTTATATATTATACGCTATCCCAATCTCAATATCATTTTTCGTAGAAACTATGGCCGAACTTGAAACAGACTATGAAAATCATATCAAACACACAACTCACGATTTCCTTTCGAAACTTCAAATAAGAAGTTCGAGTACGGATTTTTTCCAGGTTCCTTGTGGACCTCTGCATTACTACTTCTCACGTACATTACACAGGAAACAATACGACAAACTTCCGCAGAGACAATGGAAGTTCAAGCCGATGAAGCCGCCCAACAATACACGGAGTTGTCTACTGTTCCAGATTACGTACAGTGATAACAACAAAGTACAATGACTTCAATGCACGATTAGTTACTTGACGGAAATTCTTGTTAGATAAAAACCACGGTGATTCGATTACTGAACAAGAGATGCACCGCTTCACATGGTTTGATTTCAAGGAATTCAATTACCCAAAGAAATCTCTATGAATAACCTCATAATGGCTCATAATGAATTAGTAAATTCATCCAAATGTAAAATTCAGCATGTATCGGGTGGTCACAAAAAAACCGGAAGTTTTTATTATATTTGAAAACTTCATGATGAACAAAAATAAAATGGCGGATTCTACCAAATTATTGTCATACATAAAAACCGCTGGAGAAAAGTAAAATCATATTTTTTTCAACCTGTACCGATGTCATCTTAGGCTATTCATTTCTGAAGAGAATTAGTACTCGAACATCGAAATCGAACAAATAGTCCAGTAGATACACTCATTTCTTTGCAATTTGTTATGGAGTGAATGTGCTAATCTCGTATAAACGATTATTATTATTTTGCTTCAGGCTTCATAAAAATTCAATAGAATTTGGATGTCTTGAAGTTTTTTCGAAGATAAGGAACTGTAGTACATAATGGAACATTTAAAAATCCAATAATTGAAAGAAACAAAATGGTGGAGACTCCAGAATTTTTGTGATTTTCAAAAATCTCTGGCGAATTAAATAATGTTTATTCTTCCAATCAGGACCGATACAATTTTAGTAGATCATTGATTTCTGGAAAGAAGGAGCACTCGAACATCTGAATCGAACAATTAGTCCAGGAGAAACACCTTCTTTTTGGCAAAGTGTTATGGAGTGAAATACAAATTCGATCGAATTCTGATAAAGCCAGAAGCAAACTGAAAGTAATTCTTATCACGGGATTGGCACATTCGATTCAGATGTTCGAGTGCTCATTCTTTTTAGAAATCAATGATCTAAAATTGTATCGGTCCTGATTGGAAGAATAAACATTTTTTTAATCGCCAGAGATTTTTGAAAATCACAAAAATTCTGAATTCTCCACCATTTTGTTTCTTCCAATTATTGGATTTTCAAATGTTCCATTGTTTACTATAGTTCTTTATCTTCGAAATAACTCTAAGAAATCAAAATTCGATTGAAATTTTATGAAGCCTGAAGCAAAATAATAATAATCATTTATAAGAGATTCGCACATTCACTCCTGGACTATTTGTTCGATTTCGATGTTTGAGTACTCATTCTCTTCAGAAATGAATAGCCTAAGATGACATCGGTACAGGTTGGAAAAAATCTGATTTTCTTTTTCTCCAGCGGTTTTTGTAAACGTGGCTGGTTGCCCGACTGGCGTAATTTCAACTACGAAATCTACCATTATTGTTATATTGTTAATGTTATGAACATTGTGTGGAAATGACTTCAAGCTTTTTGTATTCATTCAACATTTCATTTCACTTTGAGCATTGTAACTATTTCGTAGTTGACATATATGCTTCCTGAAATAACAAAAATGATCAATAATTAATCAACAAAAATCGAACCGGGAGTTCCGCAGTCTGATTTTCGATGAGGTTTCAAAATTCATCAAAGTTCACAATACTGTATGCGCACTCACTTTGACGTTCTCCATTTCTCGATAAAGTTCCGAAACTTTCTTGCACCCCTCTTCCAGTATCTTCTGCGTGCGGAACACGCCGCCGTGTTTCTGCATGGTTTTTTGGAGTTGCAGCCGGAGTTCGCCGACCGTCCGTTTGCCCTTGGAGTTGCGCAACTTATCGAAGTTCTCTAAGGTGCCGCCGCCCAAAGACTGAGGAGAAAATGAGGCGAGGTGAGTTGGAGATTTCCATACGTGAGTCATACACAGGGTATCCCACATTGAGTAGCACAACCCTTGTATTTTCCTTTTGTTGACAGATTACGATTTTTTTTCCACATGATGTAGTACTATCAGTTAGCAATATCGAACATGTTTTATGGAGCAACAAATATTGTCAGAATGTTGCTAAAAAAAAAATATTAAGAAAATATTATAATATGATTATATATTCAGATGCTCCGAACAACCTCTTCAGTAGTTTCTCTGTAGTTACCAAGTATAGAGGATGTTGCTTGAGTTCAATTATTAGAAAATCAGTGCATACTCCAATTGCATTTTGAGAAATGGGGTTTTTCAAGCTATATTATCAGAGAAATGATGTTATTTCCTATGACAACATTTATATTGTTCGATAATAATAATGATGAAAATTCCACACCTGTGATTTTGATATAGTTAAATTAGGTTTTTACGACGAATTACCATAGCAACGTATGAATTTTAGTGGGAATTTTTTTCTCGTCGGTACCCACCAGCGCATGAAATCGGACATTTTTTTATGACGTTTTAATGACAGAATAATATTTTGACGTACTAAAATAGTGATTTTGCGCCACTTCAATTGGGTAGAAATCAACAATTAATAGGCTAAGAGTCCATTGATGCCCTAACTGCATCTATTAGGTATACAGTGTGTCCATTTAGTGCGTAATTCTTCGATATCTCGAAATCAATCATCACAAGAGAAAAACTTTGGAGAAGAAACTTTCTCAGTTGCTAAAGTTGCTCATTTCAAAAATATTTTCAACAATACTGAGTGTTTTATAAATGCGGGACAACTCGAAGACGAGTTTTTTTAAATGGAAAACCCAGTATTGTTTATTCGAAATTCATTCCGCTAAGGTTCAGCTCTACATCGCTGTGAAAAAAATTCAATTCGGTTGCGGCGTTGCCAAGTTATAATTGATGAACCCATTTTTACTACTATTGACGGGTCATGTTCAATTGGGTATGTATGGTATATTTATTTATTGAAATTTCGAAAATATTTTTGGCATAAAGTAGTAGCAAGGTCTTACGTACACCAATCCAGTAATCTTGCGAGATAATCCTACAAGGTGCAAAAATTTTCATTCTGAATATTGCAAGATTCAGACGACGATCATAAGAATTTTTCAAATGGAACACCCTGTACTTTCCATCACAGATTTATTTCGACATCATTCGCCTTTTTATCGCTGAAGAAAAAATCAAAATCGGTTGCGGCGTTTTGAAGTTATGAGTAATTTCCTTATTTTACTACTATTTTGGGGTAATTTGTACGTCATGATGGTTCCTTTATTTGATTTGAGTGTGGGAATATTGCTTGCCACATTGCCACATGCCAAAAGCAACGCCTGTCTTTGAAACAACTTCTACAATACAAACAATGAAGATGCGGATTGCGAAAATTAGGACAATTCTTTGAAATTACGGCCATTTTCATTGTCGTTATTCCCACAATCCCAATCTCCATTTAACTTGAAGGGGAAGGGAATTCAGCAAAATTCCGAATCAATCCAAGATATTTTGATTATGGCGATGTTTGATAGGTCATTACACAAATATTCGAAAAAAATTCAAACTTGGAGAGCCTGTAAATGTTCCTAGTTTGGAAAAATATATGAATGGTCAATGAACAAATTTGATAATACCGTAGCAACGCCATATTTCCACAATAGAAATAAATGAAAGAACTATGACGTACGAATAACCCTGAAATAGTAGTAAAAATAAGGAAATTATCCATAGCTTGACAACGCCGCAACCGATTTCGATTTTTTTTCCAGCGATAAAAGGGCGAAAGATGTCGGAATGAATTTTTGAATTAAAATACAGGGTGTTCCATTTGAAAAATTCTGACAAATGTCATCTGAATCTTGCAAAATTCTAAATGCAAAATTGAGCGTCCTGTTGAAGAACATGTCGCAAAATTACTGGATTGGTATACGTGGGACCTTGCTTCTACCGTATGCCAAAAATAATTTCAAAATTTGAATAAATGAATATACCATGCCCAATTCAACATGACTCTTCAATAATTGTAAAAATTGATTTATCAATCATAACTTGGCAACGCCGCAACCGATTTCAATTCCTTTTACAGCGATGTGAAGGTGTACTTCGGCGGAATTCATTCCGAATGAACAATACTGGGTGTTCCATTCAAAAAAACTCTTCTTCGAGTTGCCCCGCTTTGATAAAACACCTAGTATTGTTGAAAATATTTTTGAAATGAGCAACTTTAGTAACTGAAAAAGTTTTTGTTTTCCAAAGTTTTTCTCTATAGGTCATGGCTTTCGAGATATCGAAGAATTACGCACTAAATGGACACACTGTATAAAATGTCATACCACTACCTGGGCCAGTGTGAGGCGTTATGGAAGGCTAAAATTCTAAATCTCTGGTACTGATACGTACAGCTACTGACATCAACTAAAATTGTTAATTGTTATTGACACATCGCCTAAGCAACAAAACAAAGTCATCTATCAACATACCTATGAACACCGTGCGATCGCTCTCTTTACGCACACGTGTGTAAGGAGAAGCTTCCTGGTACTGCCATTGTTTTGTGTACAATATTCATCACTTACAGTAGTAGTCGTAGGAAAATAAATTAATACAATTTCCATTGTTATCATAATTCTTCCGTTACGCACCTCGTCCATTTTGATGGTGTCTCCTGGACAGCTGAACTGGCCGATAGCATCGGCGACAGCCTTGCCGAAGACGACCGTCTCTAGTAGAGAATTCGCACCGAGCCTGTTGGCCCCGTGCACGGAAACGCAGGCAACTTCGCCGCAAGCGTAGAGCCCTTGGATGATTTGGTCTCGGCCAGGTGCCTGGAACAATGAGCAAATTCCCAACATCCAAATTTTCATTCCTCTGTATAGTTCATAAGAATCCATATAAACATTTTTTATGACGGAAAAAAAGTTTTGAAATTCATTCAACTTTTCATAAATCCACGGAAAAAGGTGAGTATTTTTTTCCCAGTTATATATCACATATACAAGGTGTTTTTGAAATAAGTACATATAATCAGCACATCTATATGATATTATGGTCTAACGAATATTCCCATTATATCAGATTTTTCCTAATTTTAATAATTAACAAGAAATTTCATCCCGAAAATTGAACAAAAAACGAAAAAAAAAAATTAATGTAGCCACTTTAAAAATATTTAAATGATTAAAATCAGCGTGAGTGTGCCTTACGAACGAAAATTTGATCAGAGATGACGTCAGAATTGCTACAGTGTGAAACTTTGGGTGGAAAATGGGTCTAACCTGAAATTTTATTTTGATCCCTATATTTTTTTTATTAGTTCCACTCGATAGTATACGTCGAGCTTACTCAAGGCTTGAAATATTTGCACTTATTTCAATGCCACCCTGTATATACACTGTTGATTGCGTTTGTTGTGCTATTGTTCCGAAAAATAAGGCAATAACAATAACACCGTTCCCGTTCCATTCGACTCAGCGGTTACGTAAATTACTGAACTACTACTAAGGGCCTATTTATGCATCATTGTCTTAGTCTTAGTCTTAGTCTTAGTCCCAGTCTTTGTTTTAATCATAAAATCAAGTTATGAGCATACATTTCAATAGATTGTAGATTATAGATTGTAGATTGTATAGATTGTAGATGGGTCGTATAGGCTGGGAGACCTCTCGATCACTGCGACCTAGAAGATCTATTGTGATTACCCTTATCTAGTTTTGGTCCTCTAACCCTAGACTTCTGATGAAACCTACAATTTTCCTGTCGGTTGAATTTTCCACCTCAGCAGGGGTGAGATAGACCTGTTCTAGGTGGTTCAGCCTTTGGCGGACTAATACTTCACATGAGCAAAGTATGTGTTCCGCGGTTTCGGTCGCATTGTTACAAAAGCGCCAGTCAGTCTCCGCCAGGCCAATCTTTTTGAGGTGATACCTCAGAGGGCCGTGTCCTGTGAGAAAGCCTGTGATAAGCTTTAGCTCTGGTTTGCTGAGGCTGAGTAGCTCTTTGGCTCGGTTCTGCGAATGGTTGATGAACCTTCTTTCCCATTTCCTGAGTTCTTCCCTTAGGTGACATTTGCTTATCCCACAAAAAGGCTCAGGACCAAAAAGTGCAGATGCTGTACCTTTTCTTGCAAGGCGATCAGCTGCCTTACATTTCAAAAGGTGAATTTATGCAATATTTTCAGTCTCAGTCTTAATCATCATCATCATTAAATCATGACCTTGAAAGTTACAAACTTTTAATATTTATGCTTATGATTGAGACGACATAAGAAAGGCGCATGTGTCGACCCGTCAACATATTTGGCAATAACATATGACTTTTAATGTTGTGTTTGTCACCAGAAAATGAGTACCATTCTGTGCTGTGTCAATAATAATTGATTACATCATTCTGATAATTTGATTACATTTGTTAACAAATATCAAAAAATCATGAGCCTGGAAGAAGGAACCCTATAATAGATTTGGGGGAAAAATTTCTCCATCTTTGGGACAAGAAAGACTGAAAATACAAAGATAAAATTGCAATCGAGAATTCCCTGAAATCATCAGAATTAGCTCAAAAATCTACTCGAAAACAAAATATTAGTATCGGCAGTTGACATTATCGACACCTCAGTTGACACTTTTGACGGGTTGTCTATTGTCATATCATAATTGTTTATCCTAAAGACTGTGATGCATAAGAGTCCAAATATTATGAGTTGATATTTTATCCACCTTGGTTAAGACTATGATTAAGACAATGACAAAGACAATGATGCATAAATAGGCCCTAAATTCTCAATTTTTTCAGATCAAATCACAGAATGGGCAAGTGGACTGATATTGAATTATTGACATTCAATTACTCCACTGTGTCGTTGGGGACCTAAATTAATTTTCGCACGCTATAATATCGATGATATCGATAATTCCGATATCCTATTCATTCATTTATTAATTTATTTATTTATTTATTGAAAATGTGACTTCCATGCAGTCAGAATCAAGTTCTGGTATAAGGGAGTATAGTTAACAATGATACCTAAAACAATACAATTATAATGAACTCATGATAGTATATTATGTAACAAGTGTTATAAACATCCTTTTAGTAACGAGTATTTTAAGCACGAGCGGAGCAGAGCGGAGCGAGTGTTTAATAAACGAGTGTCTAGAAGAGTTTATAAACGCGTTACATACTATGCTGTTTCTACGAACTCCGGAAATTACATTAACATACCTGCAATTCCTGCTAACCTTCAAAATAATTCGAAAGGAATGGGAATTGAGAACATAATACATGCAACTGCATGCAACTAGCGAGACACGTATAAGTGATATTGGTTGTAGATGTCTCCAGTCCATTGCTTACCAAACTTTGTTTAACGTTTATTGTCATGCTTACAGCGCAAAATAATAAATTGTTTTCAAAGATGGATGCTTCATTTTTACACTTCTTGGAGATATGCAAGTACCAGAACATTCTCTTCGAATTCACTTTCGTCTACATTTCACATATATTTTTAATGAAGAATTCTGATACGAACGAATAATTGTTTGAATAATTCTGATACAAAATTTGAAAATAACATTTGACAGTTAATACCATTGACAGACCAGACATGTCTCAAGTTACTGAAGCTGTGTTTAATGAACTGTGTTGCCATGGTAATGTGTTCAAGAAATCGTGTTGCCATGGTAATGTGTTCAAGAAATCGTGTTGCCATGGTAACGTGTTTAATATTTTGAATAAAACACAGTTCGTCAATCCCTGATTAATCGATCCGTACGCTAAATGCCATTTTAGTTATGTGAGTAGAAAAAAGTACATTATTCAATATTCAATATCTCATCTTCCGCTTCCCTTTCTGTTTGCTCTCATCGCTCTGTTACAAATTACAAAATATCGAAAGTGGTGCATTAACGACCCCCGACCGCGACGATATAATCGATCATTCAACCACTCAACCACCCTCAACGACGGATCCTCTCTGGAATATATCACACCGGAAGTGCCGGTACAGCATTCCGGCGATTGTCGAAATGAAAATTCCGGTCGAACCGCCAGTCGAGTCGTTCACTTAATTTTCCGATGGCTCATACACGTCAAGGGAAATGTTGCGGTCACGTGGAAATTAACGACAACAAATTCCGAACCCTGCTTTTTTTTATCTCGTGAAGCGCTCCTAAGGAAATTTCTATAATGTTCGTGGAACATCTTGCGTAGATTCTGACCACGATAACTTTAGGAACAGCACGTGACGCAACGCATACTATATGTGAAGGCTATAACTCGACTGACAGTACTGGAACGGTAATCTCTTGATTTTTCATTCCGGAATCAAAATAATTCACTGAAAAGCCACTTCCTCTTGAGCTACTCCCAAATAGAACGCATTTTAGTGAATTTTTACAATGTACGTCCCCTGCTCATGCGCTTTTATTGTTTAACTTTTGGAAATATCAAAATATATAGCTAATCTATATTGTTAATGTCTGATTCTGGAGACGAGTATATTTTGATTATTGTGAGTTGAACTAGATGAACTACACCTTTTCCAGATGTATTTCAGAAAGCGTCAATTGTATTCCAGAATAGTCAATTCGATTTCAGAAAGCTTCAAATGTATTCCAGAATAGTCACTTGTATTTCAGAAAGCATCAATTGTATTTCAGAATAGTCAATTCAATTTCAGAAAGCATCAATTGTATTTCAGAATAATCAATTCAATTTCAGAAAGCATCAATTGTATTTCAGAATAGTCAATTGAATTTCAGAAAGTGTCAATTGTATTTTAGAAAGTATCATTTGGATTTCAGAAAGCGTCAATTGAATTTCAGAAAGCATTTGTATGTCAGAATAGTCGACTGAATTCCAGAAATCGTTCTCTATAGTCTGAAAGCCAGCGACCGCCAGACGCCATTTCAACAAGGTTGATATTTTCTATGTGTGTTATACCTTATGTGGTGGAATCGTTTTGGGGGTTAAAAATCTTCAGTGCTGGATGAGCTTAGGGTGTTGAAAGTACAAAAAAAAAACTGACAAAAACATCATTCCAACAAAAGCTGATCTTTTTATGTTCAATCGGATCCTATCATGGAAGACAATATACAATTGCCAGACACTTCCCACGGGGTGTTCTCCTGCCAGGCAAATTTATAAGTCGTGAAAATATCATGAAATTTACGTCATAGCAACTGAGCTTGATTTTCTAAATGTTATTAAGAAGCCTATTTTACAGTATCATGGAAACAGCCAGTAACTTCCGATTGGACAAACATGTAAAAATCAGAACTTTTTCATAGCAATAGAAAGAAGCTTATCTCTCATGGTCTCCTCTATACCTGAAATTCTGTGATCTGTTCATCAAATAGTATACAGGGTGTTTCATTACTAATTGGAAATATTTCAACCATAGAATCCCGAACTCAAAATATGAAGATTTAACCAAAATCACCTAGATAAAATATGTCTCCTGTCTGAGTTACAGGGTGTTTTATTCAAAAATTTTGAAATGTTTTTTGCCCACTTCCTCAAAACTATTTGACGTATCACTTTCATATTTGAAGGGAAGTGTAGGTATTATACACCCAGCTGAATTATGTGAAATGAACTTTTCTAGCTATTACCAGAGGCGTACGACAGGGGCAATTAACTGGTTGATCCCTTCCAAATTCTACGCCACTGGCGGAATTGCAATTCTATCACAAATTTTCGAATCTCCAACAATTTTGATGTAGATGTTGTACATACTCTTTCTCCATGGCGATGAAGTCATTATTTTTCGAAGTATTTCAAGTAAAACATAAATCTGCACAATCATTTTAATTTCAATGTGCATTAATTTTGGCAATATTCCGAATCAATGAATTGTATTCGTCAATAAAATGGATCTTCAATCCACATTAACAATAAAAACATAATTACATAACAGACAGGAGCTGTTATAGGGTGTTTAATTATGTAATATATTCAAAAATTTAAAACAACCTGTAACAGCAAAATATCGACATTATTGATACACATCAAAATCAAAATAATTGTGCTGCTTCATGTTTAACATGAAATATCTCAAAAAATAATGACTTTATCGCTATGAAGAAAGAGTACAAGATTTACGAAGAAGGTATTGAAGAATCTAAAAATTTTGATAAAATTGCAATTCCGCCATTGGCGTAGAATTTGGGAAGGATCAACCAGTCACTTGCTCCAGTCGTACGCCTCTGGTAATAGCTAGAAAAGTTCATTTCACATAATTCAGTTGGATGTATGATACCTACACTTCCCTCCAAATATGAAAGTGATACGTCAAATAGTTTTGAAGAACTGGGCAAAAAACATTTCAAAATTTTTGAATGAAACACCTTGTAACTCAGACAGGAGACATATTTTATCTAAGTGATTTGAGTTGAATCTTCATATTTTGAGTTCGGGATTCTATGGTTGAAATATTTTCAATTAGTAATGAAACACCCTGTATAGGTACCTAAAGGTACATAAAATAAAATTTGGGGTGAATAAATTGATCACTACAGGAAGCACTGAACATCCTATGCATTCTTACATTATTGTTTATTGTTTATTGAAAAACTAGCTTCCAGTCAGAAATAAAATTCTGGTATGAGGAAGTTGATTACAAACAACAATAATAAAATAATATAAGGTGACAACAACAACAATAAAAATCTAAAAAAATCTAAAAATGCTAAATCGATCAAGTCATAAAAATAGCCACAGGGACTAATCAGTAGATGGCAAAGTATCAATTTTATCCATTTCGTAATGAAATCATGTGTTTTTTTACATGGTGTGCACTTTCTACTAACTAATCGATCTTGATGCTTTCTGAAATAATTCAATTGATGCTTTCTGAAATTCAAATGATATTTTCTGAAATACAAATGACGCTTTCTGAAATTCAATTGACTTTTCTGAAATACAATTGACGCTTCCTGAAAAACAAGTGGCTATTCTGAAATACAATTGACGCTTTCTGAAATACAATTGACTATTCTGATATATAATTGAAGCTTTCTGAAATTGAATTGACGCTTTCTGAAATACATCTGGAAAAGGTTTAGTTGAACTATCCTGATACATGAAAATGGAAAATAATCTTTGAAAATAACCAGAAATACCCTATTTCTAATTCTAATTCTCACAACTTTTGACAATGGCATGTGTTGCTATCAATAAATTATTTTTTTTTCTACCAAGAATGATCAAAATGACTGTGTCTCTTTCTATTTCAATGTTCATAATAGCCTCAATTTTGCAACTGAGTATAACGAATGAAAGAAAATTATGTAGTGAAGTATAATCATTCCATGAGTATAATAGTCCTCTCGATTTTTTCCATACCTGCGTGCTCGAGTAATATGCAATGATCAAATTCACATATTCGACAACTAGTATTTGAAATAGTTTGCACTTTAAGACACACTTCAATATAAACTGTTTACCTCGAAATGGAGTGTGGAATAAAGGACGAAGTTTGTCGGTCTTATTCTGACTCACCCTGTGTACCAAGATTTTTTATTGTATTCACTAGATATTTCAATATATTCACTTTATTCACTAGATATTTTATTAGTACAGGAACAAATTACTGGTGTTTTGGATACATTTCCAGAGCAACTCTAATCATGAATTGTAAATTCTGTTATATATATTTTGGTTGTGAATCATCATAAGAGGAAAAAGTTTCATTCTAATTTAGGGTTGAGTAGGAACTCACTATTCCTATAGCTTTTTCTGCATACGAAAATAATTATTAGTGAGATCCTGTGATGTCTTGTGAAACAATTTCAAAGGAATTGCCAGATCTTTGAGACCAGATAATCAAAGACAACGGCATCGGATGATATGTTCACCGCCTTTCTCTCGTAATACGAGATCAGAATATACCATTAGGTCGAATTTCACCAAGGTGATCGCAGAAAAAAAATTGAGGCTATGCTAATGGCAATATCGGCTAAATGGAGAGGAATCTGGATATATGAGAGCCTCCTTCGAATAACTAGATTTCCCTCTATTTATCCAACATCGGTAAGAGGCAGGGCAGACATTGGATGGAAACTGTAAGGATCCAATAAGTAATAGCTATTTCTGTATTTAGAGCGCAAAGTGATAGATTGCCGCTCGACAAAGAAAGTTACCGCGCGATGCGGAGCGGAGCGCGGTAATCTTTGTGCTCGAAATACACACAAGATTTTTTCTACAAACGCAGCTTTTGGAAATGACTGCCCTGAAAGTATGAGCGATGGAAATAGTTCTTATCCATATTATCAAATATGTCCAAAGAAAACAAAAAATAAAACTTAAAATAACTGACAAGCCAGAAAAAAAATGTCGGCCCTACCGAGAATTGAAATTGGACCACCAGCGTGGCAACCTGAGCTTCAGACTTCTGAGCCATGGTACAATAAACTCTGCAATCAAATTGAAAATAACTCATTGATGAAATAAAATGAAGATACACTGTCTTTCTGATGTTGACAAAGAGTTTAAATATAAAGTAAAATTCACCTTTTTTAACAAATATTCTTCATCTGGGAGCTTCTTGATGTAAAAAATTGTTGGTATATATCTTCAGCAGTGAATGTTTGGAATTTTTTTCGCTTAATATCCAATAGATTGTTTCTTGAGAAATGCGATACGTTTCGGATATTCAAGCATGTATACGTACCATCGAATATATAAACCAATGAATTGATGACTTCAAAGTCTTTTATTTTCCACCAAAATAGGTAGGCCAGTTAAACGTTTTCTGAATACCTATTCACCTTCTCGGAGTGGCACCAATTCATGAATGTATCGTATTGTAATTCATATTTCTTTCTTGATTTCTCCGGTAAGAGATTGAAACTCTTGTGCTTCCTGCTATATCAGGAGCTGTGTTTGATAGTTCACTGTCACTATTTTCCATCATGAAAGAATTAGGGGTTTTCAAGACTAGATGAGAATAGGTTACAATATTTCCGCACACGAGCGCAAATGCTGTCAAAGAATGACATTTCTGGGAAAACGTCAACTTTGTGTTGGAATTTGAAGGCGTCAAAGGCAACTTTGTTAAGCGTTTGTGGAAAATATCAATGAAAATGATTAGGTGAGTTATATTTTTATGTCATTATAAATTATTTTATTCATCCGTTTTGAATGAGAATGATAATTCTCAATTTCATAGGATTTTCAATTTCATGTTCTCTTTCTGAATGTTAGACAGATATAATTCAATATCCGACGTGGCGAATAGCCAGGAAAGTATCTGTTTTCTGTTGAATTTTCAGAATGATATCATGTGCATGTATATTTTTATCTGAAGAAGAATGCAAGTTCTCAACTTCAGAAGATTCTATTTTCAGATTCTCAAGTAAATCAAATTTTATTATTGTTTACATTTTATTCATTCATTCTGACAGCCGACTGGAAAAATTAGAAATCTGATATTTGAATTCTCGATTTCAGGCCTTGCAGAAATTTTCAAGAAGAAGGACTTGTTTCCGTAAAATTGATAATAAAAAAGTTTTCCATATAAATCGATCAGAAATTCTAAAAAATATTGAAACTCAATTTTCATCACAGATTGAAGTGATTAGATATTCTAACATAGTTTTCTTCATAATGATTCTCAATTATGTCAAAAATAAAGGTACCTACTTCATTCACTCCTGAGCAAAATTATTATTTTTTACATTGGACTGAAAAAATCAGATCTGATATTTGAATTTTCGGTTTCAGGCCATGCAGAGCTTTCCATGACAGATGACTTTTTACGACAGACAAATTTTTTCGTGAAATTCATAATATAAAAGTTCCCCAAAAGTAGCCACCTCCAGTAGACACGCTGTAAATACTTTCAAGTATAATTGAGTGTGATCAGCGTAAAATTGTGAATCGCAAGATCCAAAAGACTCTCCTATTGCTTGACTATAAATAGTAAATAATAAAGGTCCAAGTATAGAACCTTGAGGCACTACATTATTATAATGAAAAGGCTGAAGAGAATTCGCTTGAAGTTTCCAAAGATAAAATATAGAGGAGTGAAATATTTTAATACTCACCATTTGTGTCAAGGCCTGTCCCTTGTAGTTCGTGGGTATTCCTCCCATGGTGTAATGCACTGTCGGTAAAACAGGAATCGGCTCTCTGGTGATGTCAACACCAGCAAAATCAGATGCTGTTTGCTTGATACCCGGAAGCTGTTTCAGGATCGTTTCTTTCGGTAGATGATGTAACTGAGTATAATTCAGGGTTAATAATGAATAATAGTGTTAGTGATTAATATGAATCAATCTTTCTAAAGCAGTAGATCTCATAACTGAGATATCTAGGATAGACAAAATTGCCCCAATTGTCAGCAGGAGCGAGACAGTACTGTTTCGGCCCACCAGACCTCATCAGCCGCTCTTGGTCTGCTGACAAATAGGACAGCTCAACCAGCAACAACAAACTTGGAATGATCCAGTTTGAAAAAAAAACTAATGTTTGAAAGAGCAGCTCGAGGGATGTGTTTCTCAAGGTTACAGTCAAAGGAAATGAAGTAAGTTCTTCAATACTGATTTCCTTCCGTACGATTCTGAACATAAAGGAAAAAAAACTAATCATCAACCAAATGTCGGCTCACTTGGAGATGGACGTATTCTTTGTCAGGTCCACAGCCTCGTCCCTCCATGATTTCGTGCGATATGCTCCTGCAGACTACGTCACGTGACGCCAGGTCTTTCGCCTTCGGCGCGTATTTCTCCATGAACCGCTCCCCTTTGTTGTTGACGAAAAAACCACCTTCTCCTCTCGATCCCTCAGTGATCAAGATGCCCACTCCGTAGATTCCTAGTCGAAAAACAGCATCATATTATCCATCTCGTATTATACAGTGCTAGTCTCAAGTCCGTTTCCCCCCTACTAAATTTTGAACCAGCAGGTATATTGCAACAAAAATTGGAAAGCTCAAATGGGAGATGAAAACCTACTTTTCATGAAATGGCAACTGGGCGCCATCTTGAATCATTATTTCAATTGTATCATCTCGTATATATTATTCCAGTCATTTTTCAATACAGTTTTATCTGATGAACTTTTATCCTAAATTAATTGAAAAGTAACATATTGGTCATTTCAATACCAACCAAAGACTCGAATGTTATTTTCAATCGAGTTTAATTCGACAGTAAGCAAGATGTCACCGCAACAACGGATTTTTTCCAAAACAAACTTGATTGAAAGCGAAATTCGAGTTTTTGATTGGGTCTAAAATGACCAGAATGAAACTTTTCAAACGTTAATATTTCGAAAACTATCAAATTTGGGAGTGAACAACTGTAATTTTTCCATGAAAAACTAGGTTTCAATCTCCTATTTGAGTCCTCCAAAATTCTTCGCGACATACCAGGTGGTTGATTCAAAATTCAGTATGGGGAACGGACTTTAGATGTGCACTGTATAGTTGAAGCTGTGTGAAGAGGTAAAAATGAAAGAAGTCTCACCTGTCGGATGGAATTGAACGAATTCTAGGTCTTCCAATGGGAAGCCAGCCCTGGTGACCAATGCAGTGCCGTCTCCGGTAGAAGTGTGCGCGGCCGTACAAGAAAAGTATATTCTCTCGAAGCCTCCTGTTGCTATCACGGTATTGTTGGTGTAAAATCTATGGAAGAGATTAGTCACTCCATATCTGATGGTTTGTATCATCGTTTCCACAGATTAGGGTTCACTATTGTACTTGACATATTTGTATATTCATAGTACTGACAAGCCCTGATCACAGTTCGATACTCTAAGAACCAAATAAATAAATGGATAAAGCGGGAACTGACAATAAATTAACGTACATCGCCTAAACTTTCAATGATTTGTCAATCTGAGAACAAATTGGGAATATATTAAGATGCAAGTTTATGATATTTGTGAATGTTAAAATACTGATGGAAATCGATTGACTTTACTCGAATTTCCATCGAATAGACAAAAATGGAAAGAAAACAGCATGGAGCGGCTGGTGTATTATATGTATAGTTTAAGCAAACAAATTTTGCGAGGTATTCAAATGTTTTGGGAAATTGAAGAATATTATTTATAGCATTTCTTTCAGATCGGAATAATGGATGCAAGATCTCCTTATTTGTTCGAAGGACACTCCACTTCAGAACTCTACACCTGTGATAAATGAATGATATTAGGAGATTTTCAAGATAAGTTTTCATGAACAGTGAATTTGTCATTCCTCAAATACAGATCAGAATTCTATTTTTCTTCGAACATATCTTCGTAGTAGAAAAAACGACTTTTATCGATTTACTCAATATTTCATCCAATCAAACAGTCGAGAGATTAGTCGACATTAATGATTGTGAGTGTGTGGAATCACGCCAGGTACCCTCACGAGGGGAGTGTATCAACTTTGGCGTCTGTGATGTCTATCTACAGAGGAGGTTGTCGCCTTCAAGAGTTAGGTATGACCAGAGGTTCCATCCCAATTATTTTCCGAAACATTCAAGCACTATACACAACAGTCTTTCTTCTAATGGAACAGTGTTTTTAGGAGGGTGGACCCATTTTTCCTCCCATGAATCTATATCGATAAAATCAATATTGGGAGACTAAAAATACATGATACTAATCCTAGGTTATGTTTCCAGGATATTCCAGGAACAAAGCAAATGATTCCAGATTGTTCAAAAAGAATTCCTTATTTGTAAGTAGGACACGTCACTTTGGAAATATTCAGCAGTGTATATGACTTCCCATATTGATTTATTGTCTTTATTACCCCAAGAAACATTTCTGTTTATGATAGGGATACATAAATACATATAAAAAAAATAATAATAAAGGGTTAACTATAATGAATTCCACTCAGTGGAAACGAATTAATATTGTGTCTTATAAGATTAAAGTTATATTTCATTCCTAAGTAATCGAATCATGCCACATATTTTTCTTTCAAATTGTCCTGAGCAAGTATTTTTTAAGATTGATTTTAAACCTTCTTGCATCATGTATATTTTTCAACTCATTCGGTAATGAATTGTATAAAATTATTCCATTGTGAAAAACAGATTGTTTGCCAATGTTTGACTTGAATGTATTTGCTATCAAGTAATTCAATTGTCTAGTCCCAGATATTTAAATAAAATGAATATTTTATGATGCGAGTAACAAAACATGATAATAATTCATTTCTTAGGATATTCCAATATACGATGCAAACTATCCCAGAACCTGGTATTGATGAGATATGGAGATTTTCAAGATACATTTCCATAAACATAGAATTTGCTGTTCCTCAAATACAGATCTTGGTACTAAATCCTTCTTTGACCATTTCTATTTCTTCGTGAAAAAACAGTGATTGAATGGCAATTCTTCTCAAAATTATTAAATCACCATAGCAACAGTCGTTCTTTCAACGGAGCAGTGCTCTTGGGAGAGAGGACCAATATTTCTTCTCTCATATATCCATATTCCAGGAACGATGCAAATTAATCCAGATTTCTCAGAATCTTTGAGGAATTAGAACTGGACTCTGGCGCACTGTAAAAATCTGTAATTCCAGTCACATAACATACTAATTTTTACCATCAAGATAAGTTATACATGATGGACATAAGAAAGTTCTATCAATTTTTTCAAGTTCCACGACATATGATGTTTATAGGAACTTATCATCTCATAAAGTGTGTGTTCCACATATCATGAAACACTCTATATAAAGCGATTCGACAACAAACAACTGTGTAACTTCTGAGATATCGAAGAAAAAGCCCAAAGAGAACAGGCGAAATTGCCAATGGAAGATCGGCATATCAGCTGCCTCTGACAAAAAAAAACGCAATTTTCATAATTGAATCGTCCATTTTTTTGGCTTTATGAAGAAAAGTTGATTAATTCGCGCGTCTGATGCCAGCCCAAAAAATCTCGCGAATCGATACCATCAATATCCTCATAATCGGATCAAGAGGAGAGTATTCGGGGAGTTGTGCCGCTAATGGTGGCCCCATAAATATTTGACTAACGGATAATACCCCGGTTATTAGAAATGGTCTATAATCCGGCCTGGAAGTCAGCTTCGCAGGTGAAGGATTAGGTACGAGGCTCATAAATTATGAACGGAAAAGGATGTATTTCGTAAGGCCTGAATTGACTGATTTTCATGTTTCAATCGGGCTAACTGACGAAAAAAAGGTACCTAGCCGTAGTACTGTTATTTATCGTCCGATGTTGATGTAGAAACACTTGGTGCTAATTATTTTTCCAAGGATATTCTAAGAACGATATGAAACTGTTTCAGATGTTTCAGATGTCACAGTTGTCCCAGAGCCCCAGGAGTCCCAGGACCTGTATTGGAGATTTTCAAGATAAGATTTTCATTAACACTAAATTTGTCATCCCTTACAGATTACAGATCATGTTAATATTCATCTTTGAACATTTCTTTATGAAAAAACGACGATCTATGATTTTGAGTGTATGAAATCACGCCAGGTACCCTCACGACGGAAGTGTATCAACTTTGACGTTCGTAATACCTATCTCTACAAAGAAGGGTGTTGCCTTTGAGAGTTAGGTAAAAACAGGAAGATAGACCCATGTTTTCTTTTATAGATGTGAATTCTAATGAATAATATATTGCGAAATCAGAGAAGCAGAATACTAATCCAAGTTTTTTTTTTAGGATATTCCAGAAGCCATGTAAACTATGGCAGATACCTCTTATCATTTGAGATCCTGTATTCAAGAGAACAGGACAATTCACTTAGGAGCTCAACATCTGTCAGGCAGATTATTGGAATATGGAGATGTCCAAGATAAGTTTTCATGAACATTAAATTCAAATACAGATCGTATTTTTATTCTTCTTCGAACATCTCTTCAAAAAATCGACTATTATCGATCATTCAATTATACAGTCGGAAAATTAGTCGACATTGTGAGTGTATGGATTCACGTCAGGTACCCTAACGAGGGAAGTGTATCAACTTTGGCGTTCGTAATGCCTCTCTACAAAGGAGGGTGTCGCCTTCAAGAGTTAGGTATGAACAGTGGTTTTATACCCGTTCTTTTCCAAATTATTTGTGCACTTTAGGAAATCACCAGTCGTTGTTTCAATGAAGCTGTGCTCTGAAGGATAGACCCATATTTTTTTTCATAGTTGTTAATTCTAATGAATAATATATTGCGCAATCAGAGAAGCATAATACTAATCCAAGTTTTTTTCAGGATATTCCAGAATCAATGTAAACTATGGCAGATATCTCATTATTTGAGTTCACTTAGGAGCTCAACATCTGTCAGGGAGATGTACAAGATAGGTTTTCATGATCATTGAATTCATATGCAGATCGTATTTTTATTCTTTTTCGGACATTTCTTCATTAAAAACGAATATTATCGATCATTCAGTCGAAAAATTAGTCGACATTGTGAGTATATGGAATCACGTCAGGTGCCCTTACGAGGGGAGTGTATCAACTTTGGCTTGAGTAATGCCTCTCTACGAAGGAGTTTGTCGCCTCAAGAGTTAGGTATGTTCAGTGGTTCTATACCAATCATTTTCCGAATTATCCAAGCACTATATAGGAAAGCAACAGTCGTTCTTTTGATGAAGCAATGCTCTCAGGTAGTTGGACCCATGTTTTCTTTTATTTATCTAAATACGAATGAATGAAGAATTGCGTGCTTGAAAGAACATGATAATAATCCTATTCGAGTTTTTCTTTTCAAGGGATAATCCAGGGACGATGCAATTATTTTCCAAATTATTCAACCACTAAGTATAGGAAACCAACAGTCCTTCTTACAATTGAGCAGTGGTCTCAGGAGGGTGATCCAAGTTTCTTTCTCATAATTCTTAAATAGAACGAATGAAATATCGCGCAATTAGAAAAATATCATACTAATCCAAGTTTCTTTCAGGATGTACCTTGTGAGGCGAAAAAACTGGATTTGACTGATTTTCATGTTTCATTCAGGCTGACTGGCGAAAAAACGCCTCCAGCCATAGCACTGTTGATTATTGTCTGATTTCGATTTCAACAATTGTTTTTGAATATCTGACCTGTGCAAAGTACCATCATCCAGGTTCCATGCCAACACACCGCAGCACTTGTCGTCTGTGACTAAGAGGTCCAGAACGAAGTATTCCACGAAAAACTCGCAGTTCAGCTTGACAGCTTGCCCGTACAGGGTGTGTAACAGATAGTGGCCTGTACCGTCAGCTGCAGCACAAGTCCTATGAAAGAAACAGAAAAATAATCATATGTAATATCACAAGTGATGCTTTTTTGCCAGAAATATTCTGCGAAGGTTACAAACAACTTGTTGCCCAATAATTTCGCGAATGACGTTCATGAAAACCTACGAGCCGTAGGCAAGTTGGAGTATATCAAATCCCCGTGAAAGACATCCTTATCTTGGACACACAGTATAACATGCAGAGTTCAGAGTTTCACATGATTTAGATAGTGTGTTTCTAAAAAAAACATGCAGCTCCACGAAACTGCAGTTCGTGTAATAATATCTTGGTGTTTTTCACATACAGGGTTGTTCAACGAAAACTTTACACCCCGATTTTAGGGCTTTGAAAATTCGGAAAAAATTGAAGCAGAACTTTCGTTAAAAGAGTTTAGAAACCTCAACTTCAAAGGCGTACAATGTTGTTCCTTCCGAGGGGTCGTATCAAAACAAAAGTAAATTTGTGTTGAAGCGTTCCATCTAACCTGTGGGCTTGTCCTCCGTCTCCCCTTTTCAACGTCTGCCCGCCGAAGGCCCTTTGGTATATGCGGCCGTCTTTGTTCCGAGAAAAGGGCATCCCTATGTTCTCCAGCTCCAAAACGGCCCTAGGGGCGTCCTTTGTCATATAGTGGATGGCGTTTTGGTCGCCTAGCCAGTCCGAACCCTTCACCGTGTCGTATTGATGCCATAACCAACAGTCGTCTTCATAATGACCTCGAATTCAATAATAAAAAATGATATTACCCTCAGAGAGGCTGGAACATCATCAAGTAGGCAAGCAGACTACAACAACCCAGGCAACCAGATGACGTTTCAGTGACGTCTTTTTACGTCAGTTGAATGACCAAGGTGACGAAAGTAGTTGGCGTCGTATGACGTGATAAATGACGTGAATAAGTCACAGCCCCATGACGTCATATTACTCACGTGTATTGACGTCATTCACTCACCGAACTGTGACGTCGGGCTGACGTAGAAATGACACTGACCTCTGATGACATACAATATTGATCGAACGTTGTTGAGTCTGCTTGGGTGGTCCCTCCGGTGTCATATTCATTCAATCGTCTATTCAGCAGCGCTATCCCTCATCAGTACGCATCTCCATCAGAATGAAATCAGTTACTCGTATTTGTATAAAAAATTATGTGTGAATTGTGTCGGCGAGATGTAAGCAAACCAAAAATAGTTGATAAAAAGCAATGAAAAGGATGTTGGCGAATTCAGCTTCACTTTGTTGAGAAACGTATATTCATGCATTATTTGTCACCCAACAAAAATATAAATTCGCGATGGAAAATATCACATAGCCCCACCTGACGGCAACAATTTGAACACTTCTGAGCGGTTTTGTTTTCATGTGTGGGCCAATGAGCTTAAATGAAAAACAAATGTGAACCAATGAAAATAATGTAAACAGGCCGCTTTGACAGCTTTCAAGAACTCCGATAGGTGGCGTACGCTTATTTTTTATCGCGAATAGCAAATCATTGAAAAATGTTCTGAATGACGAAGCTCACCATGTTGGTACGCCACACCGACATGATTTTTAGACGTCATAGATACGTCACTGCAACGTCACCGAAGTGCCGGTTTCAATATAGCTCTACCTATATTATCATTTGTATATTTATATACATATATAGCTTGATTGGTTTCCAAGATAAACAGGGTGTCAAAGTTTAAAAAAGTTTTCTCTTACTCTCATTTCAAACGGCCCCTCCCTCTATATATCAGCTATCAGTCGTGCGATCTTTACCAAATTTGTATCTGTATGAATAATCATCAATATTACAAGTTCTTCAAAGACGAACATCATTTTAGACAGTGCAGTGCATTTTTATTGAAATGAATAGGGGTCAGTTCTTTATTGAATCATATTAGGCATTTTTTCACAGGAAAACTGACCTCATAATATTGTTCTTCATGGTTTCAAACCCAATATATGTGGATTTTCATGAGATGCCTATAAAGGGTTTCAGAAAAACAGGCACATCTAAACAGCATTTTTGCGAACGTAATAATTATTTACTCGGAAACGGAGAGTTCAACATAAAAAAAGAAGTCGTTTTCCCTTCCAAATCATGATTTTCCACCTACTAGAGCCATTGAACGTTCCAAAATTGGTATTGGTAGTTGATTTGAAGTCACTATTTATTCAAGACTGAAAATGAAAAAAATGAAGACAATCCGGTCCAAAATAATGTGCATCTCAGTAAAACTGATCATACTGATGGTTATTCATACCACTAGACAATATAACTTGTTTCATCTTGAAGCTGCAAATTCTAAACTTGGGCAAAAAAAGTTTACACATGAAGCGATTTCGAAATTCAATAAATTACCAGATGATATCAAAAACAGCCCAAATATTATGCAATTCAAAAATAAAGTTAAGAAATATATTTATATGCAAAGGAATGATCAAAGCTGAAAGACCATGAATTTCCTTTTTTCTTTTTTTTTTTTTTTTCACTCTTTTTATTTTTCCCCTTCTCGTTCACTATAATATGACTGTATCTTAATGATATTTAAGTTTTGTTCACTATTTGTAATTTCAATTATACAACAGTCGATAATACTTCATGAATGATCTTATACCAGGAATTACTGTCTGATCATTCATGTCATTCCTACTAGAAAATTAATTATACTTTATATATTATTTGTATGAAATGTATCAATGAAGAAAAGAATGTAATGCAATAACTGAAATAAATAAATAAATAAATAAATAAATAAATAAATAATATTCTATTCTAATAACTGAGATATAGTGGAGGGGCCGTTTAAAGGGAGACACGCTGTAAAATTCCAATAAAACTTGCATGTTGATTTGTTTCGATGAGTTATACTTCTATCGACGTTAGAAGCATATATATTGAATTTTTTTTTTTTTTTTTTTTTTATCGCTTAGAGCGCACGAAAGGGAATCCCTATAATGTTCAAAGAACATCGTGCGTTCCTAGGGAGGATAATGATATGAGGTAGGTATTGGAATTTTTTTTGAACTTCTGGAGATTATATGTTGTTGGGAATACTTCCTCAGGCAATGAATTCCAGAGCCTAGCCGTTCTATGGATGAAGGAGTTTTGATAAAGGGTGGCATTGAAATAAGTGCAAATGAAATTTGAGGTTAGACCTCTTCTTCCACCCAAAGTTCTACCTGTAGCAAATCTGACGTCACCTCTGTTCAAATTTCCATGCGGAAAACACAATCACGCGGAGTTCAATCGTTTAAACTGTTCTGAAGTGGCGTACTTGATTTTTTTCTCGTATTCTGTTCGATTTTTGGGATGAAATTACTCGATAATTGAAAGAATTGAAAGAAATCTGATATAATAGGCATATTCCTTAGACTGTATCATATAAATATGCTGAATATGTGCACTTATTTCAAAAACAACTTGTATATGTGTGTAAAATTATGAAAAAACGATTGTTTCTGAAAACTTTTCGACACTGAAAATGCCCATCCTGTATATATAGGTACGCCACAAAACTAATGGTTTTACAATGTAAGTTTACATGGTTTAGATATGGTCTGGGACGTCGACAAGACGATCCTGCAACGTTATGAAACTGACGTCTTATTTTGCCTTGAAAGTACGTCATAGTGACGTCATAAAATTGTGTGAGGTCCCTGACGAAAAATCATCAATCATTCGTCATATGGTTGCCTGGGAATCTTCCTGTATCACACCCCAAGTAGAACATCATTCTGGTTGGACATTAGCCCAATATTCGAATATTGCATATGGAATTACTAGATATACAGGGTGTAATTCAATTGATGGCTGAAAATAAAGGATATGGCTCCTTAGGTCATTTTGAGAGGAAAAGTTGAAAGTTGATATGCACATATGCCCTAAACCTCTTTACTTTCAACCTATATGGTGTCATAAAAAAAAAATTTTGTCTTATTCTGTGATTTGATTCAAAAAAATTGTGAGTTTTTGTAGTGGTTGTTTAGTTGGTAATTTAAGTAACCGCGAAGTGGAATAAAAGATAAAAAGAACCTGCAGTTCTTTCTCGGAGACGGTGCTATTGGCTTATTTTTCGGAACTAGAACAACAAAAGCCATCAACAGTGATGTATATACCGGGTGACACAGAGGACATGTAACAGCCTGTAATTCATGTATTTGGAGAGATAAAAAATGACCAATGACAATTTTCTTCAATCACCTGTTTGATTGGTAGTAGACCCAACTTTTTTTTCAAATGGCATCCTGAATTTATCTGTAGCCCATCTTATTTGCCTTAAAATTCTCTATTCAACTATATATCATTTGATATTCGATCATTAATTGGCTGTTAAATTGCATTTTATTGAATTTCAAATTTGTATCTCTTCAAATAAAAAACCACAGGCTGTTACATGTCTCCTGTGTCACCCGGTATATATCCGGGAAAAAAGTACTCACTTTCTTTCCGTGGAAAAAAGTAATTTACGAAAAGCGACATTTTATAACCTGTCAACAGAGATGAAATGTCAAACTTTTTTCCCGACAGTGAAAATACAAGATTTTTTCCTATTAAGTACTACTGTAATACTGATGTATATCGTCATTTGGTGACAGGTAGGTTCTAAGTAAAATCCATTTTTTGTAAAAAATCAGAGGGGGCGATGCCTTCCCCTCCTATAAATACTGCCCATGTACATGTTGAGCATCAAGCACTCGAAAAAAAAAATGAATGAATGAGAAATAAATGTTCCATAATCCATTTCAAAATGTTAACTTTTGGCCTTACTTAGTGCCGCATTGATGCCTCCTTGAGCTGCGACCGTATGGGACCTGGTGGGGAACAATTTGGTGATGCAGGCGGTTTTGAAGCCTTGCTCGATCAGGCCGCATGCGGCCCTCAACCCGGCACCGCCGGCGCCCACTACTACGCAGTCGTATTGGTGGTTGACGATCGGGTATTTTTTCTGAATATAAGACAGTGAGTAAATGAATATGGGCATCATTGTTACTCTCACCAGTTGGCGCTAGGGTCCCTTGATGCAAACTCACGTAGGTATTAGTCATCTAACAGGGCACGGACAGATCATAGCTCCTTTCTCTTTTATTCATCTAGTGACTTTGGTTTTCAAGTATTGGTGTCCCTGACATGACAATGCTATCACGTCACATTCATAGGCGTTAAAAGAGATCTTACAAAATTTTAATTTCATACTTCATCTTAATACGACAATTGTTTTGGAAGCATGGTAAAATGTGCTGCGTTAGGCTGTATCAATCAGCTGGATGGCAAATTTGAATTCGTCATCTTTCCATCTAATGCAAATGAACTTAGAACATAGAAAGTGAAGTGACAGAATGGGGAAAATTGGTTAATACATCAGCAAAATAGTCCAGGTGATACTAATACGAAATCACATATTATACTTTCCCATTGTGCCTATAATCATCCACTATACAAGTTTTTGAATGCATTTTAGTAGAAACAGTTTTGATAAAAACGGAGGATTAAAAAAAGAAAAGGCATATGCCCTACCATTTGAAAAATTATACATACATTCAGCAAATATTAAGTGTTCGTGAAAAACTGCAAAATAATTCCCAACATTGAATATATACAGCACACATGACATATGAGTACATTAGTTTGAATACCTAATAATATTTTTCACCAATTCACCATTTCTCAACTATACAGGGTGTTAACAAATAAGTGTCACAACGGAAAACTGTAGATTGCTCATGAAAAAAGAAACATTATTTTCCCTTTCGAAATTTTTCTCCGGGCTTCCGTTATAAAGATACAGGACGTCAAAAATATATAAAAAAATCTGTTTTTTGCTGCTATCTCAGGAACCGTCTGAGCTACGGAGTTGAGCCTTCGTGCACACTTTATCATCAATAATGACTACTTTTAGGGCTCTTGATCAATTTCCTTGGACATGTCAGTGAAGGAGAAATCAACGCCTCATAAGGGTTTAACCCCCCAAACATTTATGCCACTGGATAAATTGTAATTTTCAAAGTAGATTCTGAAACGCCAATATCTTTCACACAAAAAACGTCCTCTTGTCTCAATGATCTAAAGTGACCAGTTTCCGCGAAAGATGACTCTTTATGAATAAGAACATACAAAATCCTGATGATATCTCCAGAAATCGTCTAAAAATCCACTGGAAATAAACACCTCAGAACTGTCTAATAATATGTTCAATCAAATGTCAGGTTCTTGAGTATGCTGGTTTTCAAATTGTTAAGTTTATTAAGTGTAGTAAAGTGTGTTTAATCAAACTGAACATTTTTGATTTTTGACGCCCTGTATCTTGAAAACGGAAGCCCGGAGAAAATTTTTGAAGAGGAAAGAAATGTTTCTTTTATTATGAGTAATCTACAGTTCTCCGTTGTGACACTTATTTGTTAACACCCTGTATAAGGCTTTAGTCTGGAATCAAAATTCATTCATTGATGCACTGCCTAAGAACAGTCCCATTTGGTAAAACGTGCTAACTGCCTCACAAAGATTATGCTGGAGTTGAAAAATCAAAAACTCGAAAATTATTATCATCATTTGGATGTAAAAACTTCCCAAACGATAAGATTTCCACAAAATTCTGTGGAAATCTCATCGTTTGTAAAGTTTCTACATTTGCCATATATTTCCATCAAGTAACGGCCGAGTCAATTCAAAATCATCATTTGGATATAATAATAATATGTACAGTTGAATGAGAAATTATACATGTGGAAATTAGGTATGATACGCCAATGTCCTCAATATAACCTAAAAAACATCAAATGTCAGAAGGGCCTATGATTCTGGATTTGGCGCGTAGTGGTCACTAATATCGAGGAGTCAGTTTAAAAAAATAAAGGGCTAAATTAAATAAAGTAGTCTGAAAACTCTGAAAGTAAAGTGTGAAGAGTGAGTAGTCTGGGGTTGCCGGCATAGTGAGTACCGTTCTTCATCTGCTTGCTTGCAAGGAGCTTTGAGGTAGTGCAGCACAAGAAGCGATTAGAGGTTAAGGTAACAGCATGGCCCCTTCTCCGGGGGGGCAAGAGACTCGTGCACCAGACATTAGTGAGGTAGTGCAAAACCAAATTTCTAATTATCTGTCACCCAAATCATATGAGCTATTAAGCTCATTGCATATATTATCACCTGCTCAAAAGGACGATTTAAATCAACTCAAGGAGGAGATAGCGGCGCTCAAAGAGGAGGTTAGTGTCAGGGACAATAGAGAGGTTGTAGAGGAATTGAAAATTATTTCCACCAAAATAGAAAATGCAAAAAGGCGCAAAATAGAATACTCCCAAGAGGATTTTGGACCATTCATAGTGATAGCTGAAGCAAAGAAAAAAAATGTAGGTAATATGCATCCTTCTGATTTGGCCAAAACATTATTCAAACTGGGTATAAGGGGCATTGTCAATGTAGCTCGCAAAGGGGTAAACCGTGTAGGAATAACCTTCTCAACTTCAAATCATGCAAACGAGTTCTTAATGAATAGAGCATTTTTGGAAAAAGGTTTTGTTGCATACATTCCACAAAGTTTATTAACTTGCAAAGGCCTCATAAGAGGAGTTGGATACTCTATTGAAATGGATGATATAATCAAGTATAATGATGCTAAGTGTAAAATTGTAGAAGCCAGAAGACTCAATAAAAGGGGCATTAGAGGTACTGAAGTTAATTTTGAACCTTCTACTACAGTAGTAGTCACATTCGAGTGTAGCAGGTCCAGGGTACCAACCACCTTGAGTGTTTTTGCATACTTTTATCAGGTAGAAGCATACATACCCCCAGTAATTCAGTGCTATAAATGCCTGAAATATGGTCATGCCAAGAGACAGTGTAGGGGTAAAAAGAGATGTGCAAGATGTGGAGAGAACCATGAAGAAGAATGTGAGAGCCCTGAGATCAAATGTCTATTTTGCAACAATGCTCACTTAGCTATCCATAGAGGCTGTAAAGAGCATGAAAGACAGCGCAAAATTAACGAAGCAATGGTTTTTCAGAATATTTCCTTTTTCGAAGCTTCAAAATTATTCCCTCCAATCATCCCCCCACCTCCAAGACAAAATCCAAATAGAAGATCCCAAGACTTTCCATCCCTACCTGTGGGGGTCTCGCAAGTAACTCCACAGTATTTTCCTAGCCAAGTTTCCCCACAACAAAGCTATTCAAGAGTTGTTGCTGGCACAAAAAGAAGGAAAGCACCTTCTCAAGAAGGACTAGGGTATGACAAGTCAGCTCACCAGAGCCTACTGTTTCCATCTCCAGCAAGAACAAAAACAAACCCCATCCCATTTAATTCTCCCCATCAAGCCAGGTCTCAAAAAAATGTTCAAATTCCTGAGCAAGGTAGTGTGCAAAGAGTTTCCGATGAAAAAGTAATTGTAGAACAACTTCCCTATTTTGAGGATACCGAGTTGTGCTCGGTGTCAATGAACCAAACAGACCCAAAGGAGGATCAACTATTGGATGAGGCCATGGATGATGACAAAAGTTCATCTTCCAGGCATTCCTCCTATTAAGTTGGTCAAACACTCCTGTGATACTTGAACGCAACATCAGTCAAGCTATTGAAATACACTCTCATAATATCTATATATATATAACGATATATTTTCTATATACAAATAATCTCTAATTGTCGTGTTAAATATAAACTCATTCCTATTGGTTTTATTTTACATAAATGCATTTGCAAATTTAGGTACATTTCAGAACAATCCAGTACAAATTCTCATGTACATATTATAGAGCTTAAATGCACCTTTTAATGGACAGGACGGCCCTTAATTTCATGCACTGGAATATGAGAGGATTCTTTGCAAACAAAGACAGTTTAATCTCAATGCTCAGGGATGTTCAAGTAGACATTGCATGCCTAAATGAGACTCTTTTGAAAAACTCAGATGTAACGTATGTTGCAGGGTTCAATCTGGAACGCCTGGATAGGAATGATGGTTGGGGTGGAGTAGCAATTTTAATTAAACGAAATATTCCATATAAGCTTATAAATTTGAGACAGATGAATCCCAACACGAGACTTCAGGTTATGGGTATAGAACTACAGAATCTTATTCTATTCAGCATATACTGTCCTCCTGATATCAACATATCTCTAAATTATTTGAATTACCTAGTAGGACTGTATAACAAACCTATTCTGTTCCTGGGAGATTTTAATGCACACCACCCCCTTTGGGGTTCGGGAAGAACAAATAGGAATGGAAAAATTGTCCATGATTTTATTGACTACCATAATTTGGTTGTTTTGAATGATGGAGCTACCACTCGAATCAATCCCCCGCATTTTTCCAAAAGCGTCCCAGATTTGGCAATAGTTTCAGCTAACATGGCTCTCAATTTCAATTTTCAGGTCTTAGATGACCCTGGCTTTAGTGATCATCTGCCCTTGATATGTTCTCTGACAAGGTCAATCCCTCAAAATGTTGGCGATGACTTGGCGCACCTGAAATATAATTTTAGGAAAGCAGACTGGGTGAAATTCCATGATAAAATCGAAAGTAGTGTTTCAATAGGGGATTCACTCTCCTATGGAGAGATTATTGACACCATAGTGGAGGCGGCTAATGATAGTATTCCCAAAAAGAAGCCCTTTAGGACTCCCAAACCTCAACATCACTGGTGGGATGATGAGTGCTCAGAACTCATCAAGAGCAGGAGAAGAGCCTTCTCAGACTTTAAGCTAGTTAGTAGCACAGATAACTATATAGAATTAAAAAAGGTCAGAGCACAAACTCGAAAAATTCTTAAAGAAAAAAGAAGAAAAGGTTTTCAAAAATTCTGTGAATCTATATCTCCATCTACACCTATAACACAAGTCTGGAAGTCCATAAAAAGGTTATCAGGGGCGCTCGAGCCTATGAACAGTCCGCACACCTTGAATTGCAACATTGGAGCAGAGTTATTAGCTTCCTTAGCGTCCCCCATGCCCCC